TATTGTCTTGGGGTATATTCTGCAATTTCAGTCATTTCAAAGGCCAGTAAGGTCAGCCATTTAGTGGTATATCGTATACCATATAAAACAGAACCAGAACATAAACTGTTTTGTTCTGAGGGACCACGTACCACTACAATGGCCACTTCCTCTTCACTTTCTCCTTTTAGAAGATGAGTTTCGGTGTGGCATCCAAGTTCTTGTTGGCTTGTTTCGAAGCGAATTCCTCAGCTTCTTCATGTGCTCTAAATTTCAAAGATGATGATTTTATCAACTGGAAACTGATAGTCCAAATGTAGAAACCACCGAGCTGCATCCAGAATCATATATGAATACAGTTGATCACAATAATTACACTAGTTCCTGCAGCCAAATGCTTTTATTTTACATTACCGCCATGGAGAAAGATGCATAGGAAAGTCCAACCGTGCGGCACACGTTACTATCCCCAAATGGGCTTCCATCCTCATTACAGATTGCAGGGACAACTATGAGAACAAGGTTCCCCAAGTTCCCTAATTCAAAAAGAATCTATTTTTAGTACCAGAGGGGCTTAAAAGATTAAAGCTGTGTGTCAAAATCAAACTCACCAGATGAACACATAGCAATGATAAGACCCTCCAGATACGGTTTCGGTTTCAGTATCTTAACCATGACCCACCCAAGAACTCCTCCCACTAGAAAGGTGAGCCCAATGTTTACAGGCATAAACCACCTGTGAATTTGATGATCAAATCAAACATGTTCAAACAAAGCTATACACACACACATATGTATATATATGCAGATCTTACCATGAAATAATGTCTTGAAACGTGACAGTCCTGGCAAGACTAGCAAACATGAGCGAGGGTGTAAACACGACGAACACGAGCTGCGTTAAAGAAGATATTAGAGTTTCAGCAACATATATGCAGAATAAAAAGAAATGGTGCATTCAGGGAAACGAAGAGTTAAACTAATCAGCACCCTATTCAAGGATCGCCGGGTGTCTTCTGGGAGAAGTTTGCAGTAATCAGTTGCCAAGAAAGCACCCAACAAACTGATCAAAAGCACTTGCAAGATTGGCATGCTAGCCACCTCAAACAATCTCCAGAAACCCATGTTTTAGAGTTCTCGACACTTCTCCTGTGTTCTCGGATATTGGAAACTATATGAAGAGAAAGAGGACGAAATTAATCAAAGTTGGAGGACCGGGTCAGAGGACGAGTCAGAGTTGGACATCTTTTGCTTGGCTAGCTGGCATGTCATGCGCATTCTAATCTACCTTCAACTCGTTTTTACGCAACTGTTCAAGTAGACGTAGGTGCATGGATAATTAGTTGTAAACCTGACCAATGCATGGATAATTAAGGTTTAAATATATATATTTGATATATGAATTAAGTTTTTTTAAGTTGATATTTAAAGAAGTTTCATTCTTAAATTGATACTCGAATTTTAATTATATCATTATTTTAAAATATCACTTCCTCAAAAACACATTATATTTAAATATAAAATTAAATTAAATATATGAATTAATAGAAACACTAAAATATACTTTAAAAGTTGATTAACTCGTATATGTAATTTACTTTTTATGACCATGTTACTCCTAGCCTAGCCTACAATTGATTTTTCCTTGATATAATTTGTTGAAAGGAACCTGTGTCGTGCATTTTGCAGGTCTCCGCGTCCAATTGATCCATGGAATTATTGAACTTTAATTTGCAAGTTGCAAATTGCAATTATAATAACTTGGTGCTGATGGAATCCCTTACCTCACAATTTGGCAATTTCAACTGACAATTTTAAAAACATAGTATATCTAATATTATAACGTCTTTCTTTCAAAATTGGAGACGGCTCTCTCTAATCTCTTCGTTCCCAGTTGTCATTGTCGATATCTATGTCGCGTAGGAAATTATTTTAAAATTCAAAAACGACGGCGGCTTAATGTTTTTTTAATTTGGATTAAGACCTTCGCCGCCGTCTCTAATATCAAGTTACACTTTGAAAAACAAGCAAAATAATATTCTTTGTTTGAGTTTCATAAGGAATAGCCTCTAACGGTGAATTGAAATCCTTTGAAAATTTTATAAAAAATATAAAAAAATTTAATTATATAAATATTATTTGTTAGATGGAACTCAATTAGATTGGGCCAATGTTCAGCCAGCCCCTTACCCTTTGGGCACATTTCTGGACTGCTCCTGTCCTGCATTTTTCGTTCATATCTAACGTAAGATTTTAATATAGTATAATATAAAATTTAAAAGTTATACATATATTTTTTTTCGTTGAATGATTAAAAATGGATGATCGACAAAAAAATGAATCTTTAGGTAAATCATTCATCCCTTTCTCTTTTTGTCTTTGTTGGTCAGCGATGAAACCAATTTTAATGTTGGCTGTCCACCATTGGTATCTTTTATTGTTTTTTTTGTGTGTATATTACATCTTTTTTTATTTTAATAAGTTTATCTATATAACTCGTTTTTTTATGCCTTTTGAAATATTTTTTTATCGTGTGGTCGTTATTTTCACTTATATTTTTTAAGGATTGATTTGACATCGTCACAACTTATCAAGATAACGCTTATCTATTATATTGTTTATCTTCCCTACTTTGGACCCTCGTGTTGAATTTGGATACCCGTTATGTATTCGTGAATAGCTTTTCACCGATTCTGATTTGTGACTTGTCTGTGGTCTTTCAATAGTTTGATCACATTTTGTGGTTCGTTTGCCGATGCAATCAGATATGTTTGTATTTATCATTGTTCGAGTTTACTTGATTAGATTTTAATATTTCTTTGTATAGTCCTTATGTGATCCTAAGTTGCTAGTTTTGTTTCAATAATTATATGAAATTGTCTTAATTATGTGATTATTTTATAATTATAATTGTAAATTCTTATTGTAATTTAAGATATTTCCTATTTTAAATAAAATTAGTGATTTTTATAAATAAAAAAAAATAGATGATTGACATCAAAGATAAAAAAATTAATAAAAATGAAATATCCTTTATTTAAAATTTTAATATCATCTATTAAACTCAACTAATCGAAATATTCAAAACTTAGAATTTTATATTAAATAAATAAATCTTAATCATATATATATAAGAAAACATCGTTATAATGTTTTTTCAAATGATTGATACCCAGTCAAGATATTTTTGGTAAAAGAAAATCATATTAACTAAAAATGATTACAACACCCCATCTCTGTCGTCAATCATGCGTACACCCGTTATCAAAAGATTCCAAATTCCGACATATAGTGATTATGCTGGACCTTCACTCTTACTCCTTTTTTGCCAAGCCAAAAGGATATATGTTCAAGTGTCTTTAAACGTACACAATAAGTATAGTGATGATTGGAATCTGTTATTTGAGTCGTTACTTTGGTGCCTCTAGATCTCACGTAATAGAAGTGTTTTTTTTAATCTAGAATTCATGAAGGTGGAAAGCATTTTACAACATAAGAAATGTTTGTAAACCGAAACGATTCACGTGGTCGCATTGCAGGCAACGAGCCAAATTCCTTGAGGGGGAAGCAACCAACGTACAATAGGACATTTAGTTTAACATTCTAAACGTGACTCCATTACTTAATTAATTAATGGGTCAATGATGTTTATCTTATCGAGTGATTAAAGATAATGTCCCATTACCATTTAATTTGTTTAAGTTGTTTCATGTTAGTTTTCTTGTTCTTTATTTTGCGTTTTATTCAAATTTTAATAAAAAGATATTATTTTCGTAAATAATTTGAGACGAGTGTTATTTTAATATATAATTTAATAAAATGATATATTTAAGTAAATTAGCCTAGTTAAAAAAATTAAAGTACACAAATGGTCCTCTAATTATAGGATATTACTTTGTCGAGTCTCTCGACAATTAAAAGTTATAAAATAGTCCTCTAATTATAGAGCACTGCTTTGTTGAGTCTTCGACTATTAAAAGTTACAAAATGGTTACCTGACTATTCATATATTCCAAACTCGTCCCTTTTTGTTAAGAAATTGGCGTCCATCTGAGCTGGACGTTAACTTGTTAAATGAGATATAATAAATCTTATCCCAAAATCGTTGAGCTTTATTTTGTGGATCAACTCTCCGTTTGAATTATGTCGTCGACCTAGTGTTTGAAACATTATGTTGTCGAGTCAGTGCTTAAAAACAACAACGATACTAGTAGATATCATTAAAATATGATTTTATTTTATTCTAATCAGTAGGCTAATGTCCAATTCAGATGCCTGTAAATTTTTTAACGAAAAAGAACGAGTTTGAAACATATGAATAGTCCAGTGACTATTTTGTAACTTTGAATAGTTGGGGGACTCAATAAATCAACACCCTATAGTTGAAAACTATTTTATAACTTTTAATAGTATGAAGACTCAACAAAACAATATACTATAACGGGGACCAATTGTATACTTTATCCAAAATAATAATAATGTTTTAATATAAAAAAAATAAAGAAAAAAAAAGATAATATATGATAGATGCAATGGTAAGTTATGTTACATTTCTAATAGAGATTCTCGTTTAAAATTCCATAGTTTACCTCAATCAATGGTAAGTTATAGTCGACAGAGGTGGTTTGGATTGCAATTGCATAGCTCGCGAAATAGACAGACATCCATAGTTTACCTCAATCAATGGACGAATTCTTCTCATTTCTAATGTGAGAACTCAACTCTAAACTTACCATACTCTCGTTAAATGACCACTCGACTTTTTCTGAACTCCAAAGGAAGTAGAAGCAATGCCTTTTCTTTTCTTTTTTATCAAAGTAAAAGCAATGACTTAAAGACTAGCTGGCTATTTCAAATAAGGAAGGTGAAAGTTGTCAGCGTATTTATTATATGCATTCATAGCATCATATTTGGTTTTATTAGGTGAAACCAACTTGTCTGAGGTGGTGAAGCGGAGCAGAGGAGTCCACGGCTGCCATTGCACCTTGTGAAGCTTCCACAACCTACTCTTCTGTATGTATTTAGTGTTGTATTCGACTCTTCTTTTACACGACAAAGTTAAAATTTTTGTTTTCTTCTGATTGGTAATTTACTCTCTAGTCACTCTTATCCCAGTACCCTCTATTTCGTTTTGCTGCTGTGGTTCTCTCTGACCTTTTCTTGGATGTCCTGAGAAGAAGATGAGGTTTTTACTATGGTGCTGGTTGTGGGGATGGTTAATGGTGGGAGAAAGAGTAATGGGGTCAACCGATAAGAGTTCAGATGAAAGAAATCTTGACAAGACACCTACATGGGCGGTGGCCGGAGTTTGTGCTGTCATCATCATCATTTCTATTCTGTTGGAGATGGTTCTTCACAAACTGGGAACGGTGATTCTTCTTTCGCTTTTCTTATTCAGTTCACTTTGTTGCTTCCATTTTGATTCCTCATTCTTTTCCTGTAAATCAATTCCCTATTTTTACGGGAAAGAATGGATTTTGGTTGTGTTGGCATTTCGTTGAAAGATGTTCTATTTGTGGCATTCAGTGGTTCACAGAAAGGCACAAGAGAGCTCTGTTCGAAGCCTTGGACAAGGTTAAAGCTGGTAAGGCTAGAATTTTGTGATTAATCATGTTAAGCATTCTGCTTTTAATTGCCAGAAATTGGTTTGTAAAAGTTGCTTGTGAGACTAATCTACAGTTTCCCTACACGCTGCTTTTATGGTTCTTTTCTGTGATACCGTTGTTTAGACTATGAATTCGCAGTCAAAGTGGCAAGTTCATCTGCGTCGTAGACCAGGCTTGGAGTCCTGTGTCATTCATCAAATTTGTAATAATAAAAAAATAGGTGTCAATGTTTGTGAAATTGAAAATTCTGACCTTTCACACTATTATGCAGAGCTGATGGTTCTTGGCTTCATTTCGCTGATCCTCACTTTTAGCCAGATCTACATTGCCAAAATATGTATCCCTACAAACCTTGCGAATACCATGTTGCCTTGCAAAGCTGATGGTAAGCAGGACACCAGTGAGAGCAGTGAAGAAGAACACCGTCGAAGACTCTTGTCGTTCGAGCATCGAATTTTGTCAGGTGGTGCTGAGCCAAATGTTAGAAAATGCAAGGAGGTCAGCCTGGGCCAACATTTATTCATATTGTTATTATAGATGAAATTTTGTAATTAAAAACAAAGCCCTTAAGGTTCTTGTAACTCATCTTCTTGCATCATGATGTTGCATTTCAAATTACTGCCAATATGGTGGCTTGCTTTTGGATGGCAGTATTAGTTTAACCATAAATTTTCCTGAACTGCAACAAACTGGGTTTCCTTTACAGGATCATGTACCGCTTATATCCACTGAAGGATTGCATGAGCTACACATCCTCATATTCTTTTTGGCAGTCTTTCATGTTTTGTATAGCTTTGTTACTATGATGCTTGGGAGACTAAAGGTAACTAAATCCTGTATTTCTGTTTGTGTTTTGCTTGATTCTCTATGTAGATACTCGTTTTTCGTTATCAAAGCTTCTATCATTAGTACATTGTCATTAAACAATAAGCTGTTGCGAACAGATCCGTGGCTGGAAGGTATGGGAGCAGGAAACTTCGACACATGACTATGAGTTTTCCAATGGTATGTTTATGATTATCCACTAAGAACAGCTTTTTATGTTATAGCATCAAATCTTCTAGTATCAATCTTGAACTTAATTTCCCAACTTTGCTTCTTGCCTCTTGGAATCCGACATGGATGCATCGGCATGTCTGCACATTGCAGATCCTTCCAGATTCAGGCTTACTCACGAGACATCTTTCGTGAAAGCCCACACCAGCTTTTGGACTAGGATACCCTTCTTCTTTTACATTGTAAGTACCTGGTAACTTAAATAGTTAGCCTTTTTTCTATAAGTAGAGATACAAGTGACTAATACTGACCTGAAAATTCAATTCCATCCATTTCGGTTACCGTTGCGGCCATCGAAAAGAAGAAAGCTGGTTCATGTTATAAATAACAGCCTTTTGAAGATGTTGCATTGGTTGATTTGGAGTAGTTTAGTATGTACATCAATGAGAATCCTATCTTTATCAATTTTGAACTTTTTAGCCATTCACTGCAGGGATGCTTCTTTCGACAGTTTTTTAGGTCTGTTGGGAGGGCAGACTACTTGACATTACGGAATGGATTCATCGCTGTGAGTTTCTTTTAAATGCAAAGCCGTATTCGATGTTGATTCGTAGTTTTTGTCCCGACTAATTTACACTAGTCTTGTAGGTTCATTTAGCTCCCGGAAGTAAGTTTAACTTCCAAAAATATATCAAAAGATCCTTAGAGGATGACTTCAAGATTGTTGTAGGAGTAAGGTACTTGCTGTTATATCTCTGCATTACATTGGATGGCATTCCTTGCTCTTTCTTAATGTGGCTCAACCAAGGTTTATCCTGTTGGCAGTCCAGTGCTGTGGGCATCTTTTGTGATCTTCTTGCTGATAAATGTCAGAGGTGAACCACTTTTTCCTTGAGGGTATCCTCTCAGTGTAAAATTTAGTAACTTTAAAAATGCAAACTGAATTAGAATCCAGAATTCCGTTTGCTAATGTAACACATCACATGCATGCTCTTCCAGGGTGGCAAGCTTTATTTTGGGGTTCCGTAATTCCTGTCATTGTAAGAAATACTTCTTAATAACAACACTTCCTTTAGAATTTTATTAGAGTATTTCCATGTCCTGATTGCTTCATTGACGACAGATTATCTTAGCTATCGGGACGAAGCTTCAAGCAATCCTGACAAAGATGGCTCTTGAAATTACAGAACGGCATGCTGTTGTGCAAGGAATACCTCTCGTACAGGGTTCTGACAAATATTTTTGGTTCGGTCGACCGGAATTAATTCTTCATCTGATTCATTTTGCATTGTTCCAGGTGCTTCAGTTGACTCCAGAACATGAAACTAGCTATACCCTTCGATAGAAAATGGATCTCCTTGTATTAATGACCTCTCTTTTTTTCTTTTCTTTATGGCAGAATGCATTTCAAATAATTTATTTCTTGTGGATATGGGTAATTAACTAAGCACTGCCAACTTATCAACCTCCTTCCCATTCCTTTATCCCTGTTTTCTATCATTTCTAAATGTGTACTGTTTTTTATCATTTGTAATTATGCAGTACTCATTTGAGCTGAAATCTTGCTTTCATGCTAGTATCAAGCTTGCCATAATAAAGGTTTCTTTGGGGTAAGCTTCAGCTTCAGTAATATTCATTAATCACCTCAACCTCAGATGCAAATATGATGATTGTTCCCTGGAATTAACTTTTTCTAGGTTTCTACAGGGTCGGTGTTTTATGTTTGTGCAGCTACATCACCCTTCCGCTATACGCCCTAGTAACTCAAGTGCTGTTTCTGTTTCTGTTTCTGACGTAATCGATTAAAATAGCGTTCTACGAACAAATGCTAGTTCCGATTCTATTTCTTTGACACGAGTGATGCTTATGATGGATGCTTGCAGATGGGTTCCGGCATGAAAAAGTCCATCTTTGATGAGCAAACAACCAAGGCGCTTAAGAGGTGGCATTTGGCTGCAAAAAACAGGCATCGGAAGGGAGGAAAGTCTCCCACTAGAATCACCCTGGGTGGAAATGCAAGCACAGTTTCTCCTGCACCTGCTTCGGGACGCACACTTCATCGAAGCAAAACTACTGGTCACTATTCGTACGCCTATGAAGATCCCCCTTCTGATGTTGAAGCTGAACCATTGTCACCCATGTCGCCTTCCAATTTGATTATGAGTGCAGACTACGACGAGCAAAGAACTGAAACAAGTGAATCTCAGCATAGAGAAGTGAAAATGAAGATTTCTCCTTTGTCAAGCCTGCTCCATTGAGATAAGGACCATGAACGAAGTGGGGTAGCATTCAGATGCCGAGTGTGGCAAAGACTTCTAAAATAATTTTGGCACACATAAATTATAATATATATATATATATATATATATATAGAGAGAGAGAGAGAGAGATTAAGTACATTGAGTCTCATATCAGTAACTTACAATTACATAAAGATCTTTTTGCTAATTAACTTTGTGTTTCGATTACATGTCAGCAACTTCCAAAATTCAGATTAAGGAATGTATCATGCTCAATCTGAATGTTCTTATGACCAAGCGTAATACTCATACTGGTAACTCATATCTTCTCTTCATCGTCGCTGCCACCTCCGAACATGGCAGCCATTTTAAAAGCCAGTTTGGCAGCCCTCTCTCTCCTTTGGAAATCAGGCATTAACCTCAAGTTGCTGCGAATACTTCCAATCCCAGACATCAACTGTTCCAAATCCTCAAAATCATAATGCAGGCAATCCTCTAATTCTGAGGCTGAAGCTCGATCGGGTTCTCCAGCATTGGGTTCCGTTTTATCAATTTTCTCCCCTGAAGAAGAAACTGTTGGAGAAGCATGCGACTCTTCCTTTTCGCATCGGGATATGTTTCCTTTAACACACTCTGTAACACACTTTCTATCATCAACTGATTTCCCTATATCCAGAAATGTGTTGGCTCCACTTGCAGAAACCCATTCTTCAAACACATCATCCCCTGGTTCAGCTGAACCCGCAGATAGCACTTCATAATCAAACTGATAATCAGGTTCTTCCTCCGATGAATCTGGATAGGGACAATCATAATATTTAGAAATTAATTAATCAGGAAGAACTTTTATTAAAAAAAAACAAGATATCACATATAACCTTCTTTCTCAGGTAGCGTAGGTTCAGTTATCTTATCACCAGAATTCAGAACCATTCCAGGCCACATATAAGCGGAAAGAGCACCAAACAGACGTTCAACTCCTTGTAAATCACCATCAACCGACAAACCTGCCAAGGCCAGTTTTTTATTTTTTCAACATTACCAAAAATAAGCATAAGAAGATCTAACCTGTACATGACCACTTAAGGTTCATTCTTGTGAGTAATTGTCACAGCATTATCTTTCAAAAGAAAAATTAATATTCAGTAGGTCATGTGGAGTAATATCAAGTAAAACCTCTCACAATTATATATGTTTTGATTTGTTTGTAGACAAAATACATTTTACAGAGCAAGATGACATGATTAATACAATTTATCATGATTGCTATTGGAAATTTGGCATTGAAGAATGTTATTCCATATCACTGATTCAGTGTATAGGTAGTGTACAAATAAAGTGGATATGAGATGCAGAAGCTAAACAAGGGCTTACATTTGTCATAATCAGCATTAGAAGCACAAGCTTCCACGAACTCAATGTTGTGGTCAATGCACCATTCCAAGCATTTATTGCGAATGTTTGAGGATGGGTCTTCATCTCCCAATAAACTGCTTCCTTCATCTTCAGAAATTCCATATGGTGTGAAGTCAGATGAAGGATGAGTAGAAGAAACAGCAAGTTTGAGTAGGCGTTTTGTGTATTCAGCATGGACAGGATGACCTGGAATTCGATCTACTTTGTTTCCAATACAGAGTAAAATATCAAAGTTATGAATATCAGTGTAGGACACCCAATCCTGAAGTCCAGCGAACGTTGACAACTGCAAGAGAGAGAAAGAAAAAAAAGGTAAAAAGGAAGGTGAGGTTATAGAGCTACATATACATTTATTTAGAAATAGTACTCTAGTTATAAATATGCTGAGAAAAGGAAAAATATATATTGATACAGAAATCGAAGGGTTAAAAAAGAACTGGGAAAGCTAAAAGATGCTTACATTAGACATATCAAAAACCATGACCAAGGCAGTTGAATGGTCAAATATAGGAAGGGATTGAACTGAAATTCATCTTGAAGATGAGCCATACACAGAGAAACATCAGCAGAGTAGTATTTGGTATTGATAGTCCAGCTGTTGATGGTAAAGATATCAATCATCAGAGTATGATCTTATTTACACAGCAAAAAGAAAGGCAATCTATTTTATAATTAACTCAAACAAACAAATACGTTAAAAGTGAGTAGAAAGAAGGCATTCAGACCCATTGACAACGACTTGGGAGCTATCTTCTTCTTCTTCTTCTTCGAACTCCACAGAGGCAAGCCCTACATTGTATTTTTAAATAATAATAAGATTTATCAATATGCCAAAACTTCTAATAAAAGCAGAGCAACCATGACTCATTTTTTCCAACAAAATAAAAATTAGTAGTATTTGACAGAATTTTAAATGTTTTAGTTACAACAACAACAATGATAATAACAGTATATAACAATTGCATCGAAAGAGGAAATGGGAGTTACGTGAGATTAGTGTGCGCTTGCCGACATTGGGACATCCAACAATGAAAATGGAGGGTCGTTTCCTAGTCTCATTCCATGCTTCCATTTTAATGGAACCTTCCTTGTTTTCTTCCATCTGTTGTGCAAATAAAAGTTATACATAACAAACCCTAATTTGATATTTTCACTCTTTCCATCTCGAATCCTGAATCTAACCAACCGCCTTTGTCTTGGCCTTTCCATTATTATCAGTGAAAGATTTATATTTACAAAAAACATAGGTACAGATTCCCAATAAAAGGACTAAATAAAAATAGAAAGATTAAGATGAGGCTAAAGAAAGCTAGCTTCAGTTCAATTCAAAGACAAAAATACTCGGACTTGGAACAAGCAACTAAACGAAATACAGAGAAATGACCCTAAACACAAGTGTAATTATCAACAAAATGTTTGCCACAGCATAAAAGGCAATTTTTAAAGAATCTCAAGTCTTCCATCAAGATAGCACCTTACCTGAAAAAAGGTGGCTTGATATATTCGGTTAATTAAAAACTGGTTTTCTCAGATTTTGTCCAATTCATATTTTAACAACCAATCCAATTGCTTCATGCCAACTCTTTATGTTCTAGTGTAATTTGATTCATTTCAGGCCTAAACGACAAAACTTTAATTATGGAGTATGTCATTAAGAAGCATGTGTACAATCTACCAAACCTGAAGGTAGTATGGGGGCCAGCACATGCATGTTTAGACAAATTGTAGTTAGGCTTCAGAGGAAAAAGAGCTAAAACATAACACGAGAGGTTGCACGAGTTGTTGAGATATGGAAGCAACATGAGACCTCCAAAACCGGAAGATTAGCACATGAGTTATGACCTACACAAGCAGATATCATAGGGCAGCTTCAACTCTTGGCTGCATTTAGTGCTTCTTCTATCAGTACAGGTGATATAGAAACAACTTGAGGGGGAAATAAAATAACCAAAATAACAAGAGCTTAGCGAACAAGGTTGGGTGTTTATGAGATGATGCTCACTTTCTTGAAAGAGAAGAAAAACAAATGAACCATAAATGAAATACAAGAGCAGATATTGAATAAAAGTTCAGATAATTGAAAACTCAAGATTAAATTTATCCTTGTTAAACTTAACAGAGAGTAGCCTTCCCCTACATGCCTAAAAGCTGATGGTCAGAAAATTGGAGCATATATAAACTTGTTTTTCCATAGTCCTAATCAAATATATATCAACTACAATCCTCTGATTGGCACAAACTTTGAATGGATCGCAAAACACCACAAGAAGATTGTTCAAAGACACAAATTCATATAAGCTAATACAATGGAAAAACCAGTCATTAACATCAATGGATACACAATTTGCAAGTTCCTTCCCCTTTTGGCAGCTGCAATCCTATTAAGTTTGGCTGCTAATGCAAATGAATACGGCCGACGAATTGAGTACATTTCTTATCGTGCAGTTGCAACTGATAAGCTGATTAAATAGAACTCAATGTTACTTAAATAACTTACTGCGAAAAGGAAGCAGCATCTTCTTTGCTGGTAAAAATATGAACTACACAAAATCTGAGAAAACCAGTTGTTTATTAACTGAATATGACAAGCCACTTTTTTGCTGGTAAAAGTGCTATCCTGGAAGACACAGGATTATTTAAACAACATGGAAGCGGCATGAAGAAAAACATGAAGGCTTAGAAACTTATATGAGGCTCACTGCTGAACTATTCAATACTATACTAACAATTTTCCAGCTGTTCAGAACTACAAAACTAAAGCAAGTAAGCAAACAAACCCATCACTGAAAAAACGATTCTCTTAAAGTTTAAACGCATAGACATAGTTATTTACATCTAAAATCAAATAAGACATTGATTAGAAACGCAAGAACAAAAAAGGAAACCCCGAAAACCCTTTTATAGAGATAAAGATATGGAACAGATTTAACAAACAGATTCAACTGAAAGGCACTATCTTTTGGGTGATTAGCTGATCAATCAAATACTATGCTATGACTATAAGATCAGTAGGAGTAAGATCAGAGTACCTGTGTCGTGGAATGATTTCAGGTTTAAGATAACATTCTATGAGCTTTGAAAGAATGTCGATCAAGAGAAGGAAAGCAGCCCAAACCCGAAGAAATAGGAAAACTGAAAAGGTTTAATCCACAAATTTGCCCATGATCTCTGCTTTACACCCGAAACTAACTTTGTCCCAATTTACCCCTAAAATATTACTTTCATTTCAGTTTACCCTAAAATCAAAAGCCGCCAACAAGAACAACACATGGCACATTACTATTAGACACTGATAATTTTTAGAGTAGAATATGACGACAATAATAGTATAAGGAGAAACTGGGATAAAAATAATGTAAGGTATAAAATGAAAAAAAATATATTCTTTAGATACTAAATTGTAAATTAAGCCAATTGAGAAATGTATTACATTATTAATTATAACAAACTAAGGGTGAACATTCAATCGAGTCAAGTAAAAAAAATTCGAGTTATTTGAATTAATGAATCTTATTTTATAACTCGAACTTGTTTTAAAAAAAATTTAGTCACCAGTCCAATTATGTAGAGCTTGGTCCTCGGGAAAGTCCATGGATGCAAAGGCAGAGTTGGAAAAAGGATGGTGAGGTGGGATAGCTAACAGCAACGGAAGGGGTGGCAAGCCCGCCAAAGCGCGGTTGTTTTTTAAGAGACTTTTGAGCATCCCGTTGCTCCTGCTAGCACTTGTGATACGGTTTCTTTTATCATTTTTGTGTGTGTTTCTTTTTTTTTTTAATTTGTAATATTATTATATTTCCTTTTATAAAACTAATTGCTCCTATTAGTTAAAATAAAAAAATAAATCATACATGTAGAAATTGTTTGATATTAAAAACCATTTCAACGTCGAAAGATAAATTAGACCAATGTGAAATTTAAGTTACAGTCGATTAGACGGGAACTTTGTGAGGGTTAATCTTATTTTCACATGTCCAACTCCGTGAATCAAAGCCCCCAAAATCATACCATGCATATCTCGCATACAGTCAAAGGAAAGGGCTTCAACTAAATGACGGCACAAGTTAAACTGCTGCACTAAATTGAAAACCAAAATTAAACACTACATAGACCACTAGTGGAAATGAATAACTAAAGGCAGAAGCAAAGATTAGCCCCCGGGTTTTAATCGATCCACTGGTCAGCTTTGCTCGAATGGAACACGTACAAACAACTGTCCATGAAGGGTTACAACCGCCGATGTTTGATGCGGATCAATCCTTGAGGGCAAGCTGACAACCTAACACCCCAAAACACACTTTTCAGTATGACACCATAAAAACGAGGCAAATAGAAAAAGTGAAACGAAGATGTGGAAAACACAGAATATCAGGGTGCTAGGTTATGGTCCGCAAAGTAACAATTGTTGGATGGTTTGATGCAAGTTACAGGTAGAATAGTAGCAGTACTGAATGACTGGGGTAGTGCATCGGAGAATTAGAATGTGAACTGACCAAAAGAATTTGGCAATAATGTTCTAGACTGTCCCTTCCTTAAGATTTGCTACAATAGTGATTAATTTCTTAACTGGCATTTTACTAGCTGAACATACAATCAAATTATTTCAAATAAAAGCTTATTTAATGAGACAAAGATGCTTATGCCGTTATGCGGATGAACCAAAATATAGTAGTGCTGTTGGAAAGTTCAAAGGATCTTTCAGATTAGAAGCATTTCAAGGATTAGTTAAAATTAGTTTTACTGGATCGAACAAGCAAACAGGAAACAAGGACATCTTTAAAATGCAACTTTATATGAAATTAACGGTATCAGTCAACTTTAAAGTCTTCTCGTTTACTTAATCATTATTTGGAGAAAAATAATTATCATGGATGTGAAACTAACAGAAGAACAAAACATATGAAATCTAGATAAAGACAACGAAAGTTTATTCTAGTTAGTACCGCACCTTTTTGAATGGTGTGACACCCCAAGGATTATCTGGATGCTCAGGTTCACCGCTTATTACTAGGCGTCCCGCGGGATCAGATTGAACACGCACCTAAAATTGCAAATAACTACATAAGAACATCAATAGACAGTTGATTTTAAGGCTTACTAAAGCTGCATTTTAAGGCCGATTTTGATTGATGATCATTTCAATGCAAGGCGCCTTTGTGCAAATTGGTTCGAACCATGCATGCTAGAAGGAAATGAAAACTATACATAGTTTTACAAGATTGTTCACCGACCTCCTCACGAAGAAGGCCTGGAACTAAAGCATAGACCTCAAAACAATCTTTCTGCAAAATCAAAACAAGTCAAACTTTCAAAAAACCAAAAATCATGTCATTTCTGGAGATCAGGGGCAAAGAAACTTACAGTTTTCTGCACATTGATCTTAACCCAATCTGCTGGGGATCCAATGTCAACCACTGCTGTCTCCACACTAGCCAATTAAGAATTAAGTCAAACAAATTGTTAATGCTCATAGTAAAATCCCAGAAAAAATATAACACGGATCTTAACTGTGCCTTCGATACTTTGGTAGGTGAAGCCTTGACAGCACTATCCAAATATGATGGTTTCTTTCGTTTAAGCAAACCTGCTTCATGGATCTTCATCAGCTTTTGAAGCAACCAGAAAGAAAATTGGTTTAAAGGACTTAGATAATGTACCCAGGCTTTTAAGCTGTTTTTCACGTTTTTGTTGAGAAATAGAATTCTTATCCTACAAAAGAAGGATAAATTGCAATAGAATATCAAAAGATTACACCTGAAAATGCACATAACTAGGAGAGGCACAGCTCTTCCATTTGTCTTTTTCCCACATTACAGATGAATAGGATGGAAAAATAAGGATAAATTGCTCACTAGATTTTCATACACACCTTAATTATTGGGTCACTGACTTCACCATTACGGAAATGACGTGAGTGCCAACCCTTCATAGCACGAGCAGCTGCATCCCTTCGTGCTCTACCAGATCCTGAAGCCTAATTACAAACAGCATCAAAAAGAATGTTCGAAAGAAATAAAAAAGATAAAACTCATTACACACATTCTAACTAGGGGTGCAAAGCGTAACAAACTTGTGATACTATGAATATCACCACACAACTTTTAAAAAGATAAGGTTGGGGAAACATGATTGTGTGAAGTTAATACTCTTAAAGACACAAACTTACCACAATCTTAAATTCTTTGCTTTTCTATAAAAAAAATCTGACAATTGAAATTGTTCCATATTACCTGATTCTCAACATTCATAGCCTCTGATTGCGATGAAATAGGCATATTAAGCTCACCTCCAGATATCTTATGCCTTTCATAATCAAGGAGTGCCTGAACAAACACAAAAATAAGGCATAGATTAGTCCCTATCATATGAAGGAAACACACGTTACAAACCACACCAATTTTGCATGGAATATGTGGGGGAACAAAAAGTAAATTACAAAGTTACACAGCCACTTATGACATGGTATATCACGGCAATCTCTGCTACCAAAAAGGCCCACCATTTGAAGTGCCAGTAATGGCGGCAGGAAGATATTGACAGGAAGTTGAGTTCCCCCCGCCCCCTTTTCTTTTGTTCTATGCAACACAATTTGCATAGTATAGAGGTAACCTTGGTTTTAAAAAGCGTAAAGCGCCTAGGGTCCTAGACGCCGAAGCGCTAAGCGAAAGTGCTCGCTTTATCTACACGAAGCGCCAGAAAGGCCGAAATTCACAAAAAAATACAAAATATTTATAAATTATCTTATAAATACTTAAATATCAAAGTGTCAATGCATATATTCAAAACTTATAAGTACTTAAACACCAAAATATAATTCTCAATTTACTTATAAGTTATAAACACTTAAATACTTATATACCATTAACCATACGACTACACGATCATATTAATCTCAAAAGATGGTCTACACCAAAAGTAGTCTAAAGTGAGATGAACAAAAGTATTTTTCTAAACCCTCAATTCCTTATAACTAAAAATCCTCTAAATCGTCATCGTCATCAACTCGGATAACACCATCTCCTTCATCACTAGACACTCCAATATCTTTTTCCATCTCATCTTCATCAAATTGAGATGATCAAAACTTGAGTCGTGAGCGTGAGGCTAGAGGCGACAGGCGTGGAAGATGATCGCTCTCTATGAATTTTTAATCGCTCAACCTCAATCGTTCTCTGTAAATTCTTCGATTACCGCCTATTTCAATCGCATTTTTTACCCTAGCCCGCCTAAACTAAAAGCCGATCTAAGCCTGATAATCTAATAGCCCGCTAAACCCTAAACAAGCCCAAAAATCGTATCTGCTAAAGCCCAAAATCGTATCTTCTAAACTCACGATTAAGCGCCGATTACTACCGCTTAATGAATTCGTAGTGCTTTTGCTATGCTGAAGCGCCAGGGGCCTCGCTCGAGTCGGTTAGCACTTTAATCGCGCTTAAGCGGCGCTTTTTTAAACACAGGAGGTAACTAAAGATGCAGACTGCAGACCCAAGCGATAACAAACAAAAAATGAGACACCATACTGTTTTTCCAAGCATGCATGATTCACAATGTAAATACCTTCTCATAGAAACCACGAAATGTCCATGAAACAGTGGTACAGGTTCTGCCCAAATAGAAACAGAAAAGATATAAACATCATTGATCCTTAGGGTTGGGGATAGGAAGAGAGAGAAATCAATATAGCAAATGCAACATCTTCACTTCTTAAATGAGCAACATATTAAGAACTACAGTTCATAAATTATTTCAAAAGTAACCAATTTAACCACATTATCAATCTCTTAAATAAGGATATTTACATAAGCCAGTAAAACCCAAGACTAAAAGTAACTTTTAATCTTACTCCTTACTTTGGGGGCTTGAAAGACTCTCCAACTTGCCGCCACAATTTACATGAAGTTACCTACCCAGAGTCAAAAGGTCATTTAATCCACGTTTGCAACAGAAAAAGATTGCACATAAAGAGTTAAATTTACAGAATATAATCATCCGAGCAGTACATAGTTCTACAAAACAAACAGTAGCATGATATACATACTAAATAGTTTAAGAGTTCTCTAAAAATATGAGAGTGTATGTATGTGTGTCTGTGAGAGAGGGAGAAAGAGTTTTACAATAGAATAAAGTTCAGAATGAATATGCTGTACAATAAACCATGCTGAAATTTGCATTCACTTTTCTACTCTAAGTTCTCAAAAGGTAAAAGCTTATATGAGTAGAAATTTTGTATTTTAGATAAACAAACAAAGACCTAGCATAAAGTGATGTTAAAGAAAAGACAGTTCGTATACAAAAAATGGAAAAAGATCCAAACAGAAAAGAAGTTTGCGGGAGGAAATGAATTGAAGACAAGACTGAATATTTCATGCTCAATGTAAATTAGATTTATTACACTTGAAATTACTTAAAATATGGTATTTTCCAGGTATAATCAGACTGCATTCCTTAACTTGGCTACCCTAAAACCATATACAATTCATAAAGTAGAATAGTACTATGCATCTGATAATCTATAAATTTAAACGAAACAATGGCAAATATGCATACCTTGTCATAGCCACCCAATTTAATAACAGCTCTCCACAACCTTATCCCCATAAAAGTGTATAAATGTCAGTCAAATAGAAATTTCCAAACACATCATAGTTGCAAAAAGAAAACAGTAGTGCAAGTACCAATAAACTTACTTAAGGCAATTCAGCCCTTCACCATAAAATTTAGGGGGCTTAAACTCCATGCCTCTCTGTTTGAAGAAAATTTCCAGTTGCATCATGAAGGCTGATTGCTCCTCTTCTGTTCCTGACTCATTGCCATTGTCATCCAAGAAAAATGAGAGCTCAGAATTGGTGTTCCCATTAGCAGGTGTTGTAGGTAACTCCAGTTTATTAACCCCATTCTTCACGTCTTCTGCTTTCTCCTTATCAGGAAATGATTGAGAAGGCGCAAGCGGTTTAGGTTCATTAAGGCTGGTTGGTGTGGGGTCACTATCGTGATTAATTTCACTCTGAGGTAATGCAGAAGTTTCAGTTTTGGCATTTTCTGTGAGTTTAGGAGGGGATACTGAGGAGGTTTCAGTTTTGACATCAGTTATAGCTTCAGCAGCATGAATATGATTGGAGGAAGAAGGGGAGTCAGTTTTAGAATCAGTGTGGGTCTTGAAATCAGAAATAGCAGAGGACTCCGGTATCATACTGCTAGGGGTTTCTATAGCAGGCTTCAGCGAAGATTGATCATCGGGAACAGGAAGTGAGCTCGGAGTATAATGTGGTTGTATGTTGCTATCAGCATTTGAATGCGGTGTGTGATCGGTTATGGAGTTAGCCTCCAAGGGCACGGAGGAAGTGGAAGAAGGATTTTGCTGAAGTGGCGGATTAATGGGATTGTCTCCATCATTCATGTTAGAAGCACCTGATACAGGAACAGCTAGTTCGGTCTCCTGGTATTCAGTTCCCTTGGTATCGCATGTCTCGGATTCCATCAATAAAAGGTTGAAAACTCTTCCTACACATCCATGTTACATTTACTTTTAAAACAGTTTTGAGTCAACAACTGAGCAGTCCTTTTTTTAATGAAAGCGAATCAATTATGATTAGAAAACCATAACCATAGATGAGGTGAACAACGAAATCGTAATAAGAAAATTGAATGCGAATGAGGAATCAGAGTGACAGCTAAACGAAAAGGAGAGAAAAAAAGCCCCAGATTTAGCATCGGGTTTTGGTTCCCTTAAAAATTAGAAGGAGAACGACTCGAAAGACAAGTCCCAATAACAAAAGACCAATATCTACGAAATTATTGCAGTTACATAAAGATAATGCAATTATTAAATAAGAAAAGAGCAACGAGGAAGGATGAAACGAAGACTTGCCTGCTTGGTAGCTTGAACGAATCCTGAACCCTAATCTAAAAAACCCTAACTATATTGTCTTTTAATAGAATCCAAGAGTTGATTATTGGATTTAGCTGCTGCTACTACTACTGCCATTAGAAATTGGTTTCATAAACGCACTCCTACAGCTTCAGTCACCCTAACCCCTCTTTCTATTCTTCGTGTGATGTTTAGGACCTTTATCTTTGCTCCGTTCGGTCCTAGAACTTTGGACTTCAAAATTTCCGCATTCAATTCAATGCCAATGCCACAACAGCATATGTAGTCATATTGGTTCGGTTCAAATCTAATTTCATTAGCTATATCGGTTTGGTTCAATGTTTTTTATTTTTTAAATATATAATATTCTGTTAATTTATTGATTTAATATATCAAATACTTATTTATATATCATAAAAATAAAAAATATTTTTAAATTAAATTAAAATAAATTTTTACCATTTTAATCTCTTAACTTGTAAACTAAAAACTAAAATAAATCATTACAACAATCTTAAAGAAGTTTTTTCTTCGCTTGCTCCTTAGTGTAGTATCTATTTTAGTGTTAATTACCAGTCGTGTTTATGTTCTTTATTTTTTCCTATATTATTTCATATTATATCTTTACTTTTTATTTGTTTTTAAAATTTTTAATAATTTTATCTTCATGCACGCTTTTTCTTTTTTATTACGTTTTCGATCTCCTTTATCGATTATTTGACTTTTTTAATATTATTTTCCCTCATGGTTGGATTTGATATCTCTTCGATCGATCAAGATGATATTTATTTGTTATCATGTTGATATTTTCTATTTTAGAACTTCGATTGGATTTAGATACATGATTTGTGTTCGAAAATAAATTTCTCTTGATGATCGATTATGATTTATGATTGTAGATATCTTTCAGTAGTTTAATCTTCTATTGCAATTCGTTTACCGATGCAATCAAATCTATTCATATTTATCGTTTGTTTGAATTTGTTGAATGACTTCTTAACATTTTCTTTGAATAATCTTTGTATGATATCAAGTGGTTAATTTTTTGTGCCAATCCTTGTAGAAATATGTCCTACTTATGTGTTTAATTTACGCTTATAATAAAAATATTTATTATAATTTTAAACATTTATTTTTTTAATAAATTAACGTTTTCTATTTGTATACAAAATAAAATAAATCAGGAGTTTAATAAAATTGAACCAAAATTAAATTAAACGTTACTATTCAAATAGATTTTAGATTTTCCTATTGCAAACTAATACATGTTGATTGTAACTTCTCTAATGCTCTCTTCTACTGCGACTTTTTTAAAGAAATTTTTTTCAGTTAATGGGTGAGAATTATTTTAAAAAATATATAAATAATTTTCAATTTTAACAAAGACAACTTTAAATAACATTATTCTTTTATCTTCATATATATCATCAATTCTTTATATTTTAAAAATAATATCTAAAATAAGTATTTTATTTCTTTAATAATATATTTTTAACAACAAAATATTCAAACTTTAAACCAAACAATCTAAAATAATTTATAAAAATAATATCAAATTAATATTATTAATAAACAACAACGTCCATGCATCGAACCTTTAAGCAACTATTGGCCTAAGCCCCAACCCAATAATACCCCCTCAATTTATTTGCTTCGGTAACACCCTCAAATTACCACTTTTATATTTTTGCAATAATATTTTAATATTCTAATATTAATATACTCTTTTATGTGTTTTATTTAATTTAAAAAAAACTAATATTATAGATTATCAAATGCTACCACTTTATTGTTTATTAATATTCAACATCAATTTTTTGTTTTTGCTATATTAAAAATATTTGAATGTTTATTTATGAGAGTTCACGCTTTGAATTATTCAGAAGCTTGTTGTAGCGTTTGCGGTGCAATATATAACATATTGCAATATTATCAAATAGTTTTAAATTGTAAAAATCGTAATATAATTTTTTTTATTATATTGTAGTATTATAATATTACTATGATCTTAAAAGTTATTATAATACAATTATATTAGAAAACTCTAGGCGGAGTAAAAATTTAATTATAGTGATTTTAAAAATACTAGTGACGTAAGAGGTAATTAAACCATTAAAATTTGAGAGGTTCTTGCCTCCTTCCACCTATAACATAGATATGTATCTGTCCATCCCCATACAAATCTTTTTCACAACCATGGACAATTTCTATCATAGCTGGGGATAGACCGAGAGGATCGATGAGGCGGTATTTTTTTAAAAATTTTTTAATTTTTTATATAATTTTAATTTATTTTAACTTTTTTATTGATAATATGTTTTCGTCCCTTAAAATTTTATAAATTCATTATTTAACATAAAATAATGCATCCTGTACGAAAGTGAGATGGATAAGGTTTGAAATCAACTTTTAGCATTATATGATTAGACCAGGCAAATGGCTAACTGGCAATCAACTGACGAATGATATATATCAAGTAGAGGTTTCTTAACTGTTCTGAAGGCGGCCAGGATGCTGTTATGGCTATACATACCGTAACTGAGTATGTGATATTTTTGCAAGTAGGGGGGTGGATCATGAAACCGGGACGGGAATGCGAACTTTCCTTTTTCTTTAGGAAGAAAAAGATACAAAAGGGATGAGATCGAAGGGTGAGTGAGGATAGTCGTTCCTTTAACATTTTTAAATTAATATATATTTTTGATATTTTCTTTGTATTCGTCGTTAAAATTATACAAGTCCGTCCCCTTCTAAAATTTTAAAAGTTTGGCTGATACATGCAATAGGAATATGATGGTTATACAAAAGGTCTAATACAGTTGAAACATTACAATCTGAAAAGTATATGTTTGTCACGTGAAAGTGAGGAACTAAGAGATGCCATCTCCATGCAAATTGCAGTGCGAAATGAGCAGCTGTGGACCAGAGATGAGCAGATCAGTACAAGGCAGAGTTTAAAAAGTTAAAACACGAGGAAGGTGACAGGAAGGAGGGCTTAATTATCTTTGAACGACACGGATCGATGAAGATAAACTAACATTACATTTTCTCGTACTTGAGCCACTGCCCCACTGGGCCACACCAGCTGCCGGTGACTCCATTCTCTTCCTCTTTCACCTTCAAACTCGTTAACTTTACTTTCGAATATTGTTCCTACGACTCTTGTTGTCTCCCATGAAATTTTGAAGGACTGAAGAAGAAAGGCGTTCGATACGATGAGGATCCTAGACTTGTTCGTGGTTGCTTCTATGCCGATTCTGAAGGTGCTCCTGGTTACAGTACTCGGTTCATTTCTCGCCTTGGATTGTATAGATGTTTTGGGGGAGAACGCAATGAAGCAACTGAATAATGTAAGAAAATTAACATGGAAATGATTATGTTAATCTGAGGAACTTCATAACTGAGAATTTTGGATGATCAGGTTGTTTTTTTCGTGTTCAATCCTGCATTGGTCTCAAGCAACTTGGCCAAAACAGTTACCCTTGACAGCATTGTTATGTTGTGAGTTCATTCTGATCAGCACTCAAATCATTTTTTTTAGTAGCATAAGTGTTCTGTTTCGGGTTTAGGGTGATCTTTCTTCTTTCGATTCGATATCGTAATATGCAGGTGGTTCATGCCATTCAATATCTTGATGACGTTTGTTCTTGGCACAGCAATAGGATGGGTACTAATAAAAACCACAAAAGCTCCTCAACATCTAAGAGGTCTTATATTGAGTTGCTGTGCAGCAGGTATACCGTATATGCATATTAAGTCATACAAACAGAACATGTACGGAATGTCAGTCCCAAATAACTATCTTTTGGGTTAATTTTTTACTTAAAACAGGGAACGTGGGACACATACCCTTAATTGTAGTTCCAGCAATCTGTGCGGAGAAGGGCCCCTTTGGAGCTCCTGACATTTGCCATACGTATGGAATGGCGGTATAATAACTAAATCATTTATTTCATATTATATATGTTTAATTACCTGCTTTTGATTAACATCTTTAGCTAATTTGGCCATAGCCGAAGCCATTAATTGTCTCAAACAGCTTGTCATCTGATGATACTTCAGATTGGAGCTGTTTACTTATGGTCCTTCGTATACAACATAATCCGAGTTTCCTCAGCAAAGATCAACAATGGAGTTAACGGAGACAATTCAACTAGAGTTATCAAGTCTAATAGCCCTGGGGGCTCGCCGTTGCCGACTTCACGTGATCAATAGAATTACTCTGACACGCTTCTTCCGTCCAAAGATTGCTCCATCTCTTTGTATACACATGAATTGTCATTAGCATGCGCCAAATCAAAGGGAACCGTCAAGGTTACATGCTTGCTCCTATATATATATATATCTGGAAGATCTCCCTTGCTGCACATCTTCATCTTGGATCACAATTTGATTTCTTTGTGTGTTTCTGTTGCAGGTATCAGATTTCGACAAGGCCTGGCAGTATAAAGGATAATTTCTCAAAAACTCAATTTGAAGGCTGTATTCGCACCTTCAACTACCGCCGCGGTATTCTCCTTGGACGCTTTAATTACTTGTTCATGCTAATTGCTACTAACAACAAACATAAACATTACGACTTGTGACCAACTAACTTACCGGCCTTGTTGCTTTCCTTGTGCAGTTTGTCGGGTTCGCTATAGGTTTAGTTCCCCAAACTCGAAATCTAGTAATCGGTGGCAATGCTCCCCTCCATGTGGTTCAAGAATCTGCTTATCTCTTGGGGTATTCATGATGCCATCATCTATAATTTCCATCATTCACTAAGCCGATTACATTCACCTTATCCGGTTTCGGTTTGAACGTTCTATTCGCAGGGACGCAGCCATCCCTATTGTGACCCTGATAGTCGGAGGAAACCTTAAGAGGTAAGTGTTTATGTTAGGCTTGGTCTATATCGATATCGCAGTTTAACTTGAAATTTTGAGTGATATCGATCAGGTTTGAAAGGACAAGCTGGTATCAGCAAGTCACTGGTGATCGGAGTAATCGTTTTCCGGTATGTTATCCTCCCATTTCTGGGCATTGCCATCATAAAGACTGCAGTCTGGTTCGGTGTGGTGCACTCGGATTCATTATATCAGTTCATTCTTCTGCTGCTCTACCCATGGGAGTTGATAGAGGAAGCCAAACTAATAAGATGATGCCAGAGAAATTTCCTCTTAGAAGCAGACGGGCTACCATAAACAAGAGTGGCAAGAGAGGAAAGCTGACTTCCTTTGTGAAGAACATGAAAATGAATGAACTGGAAATGATTCGAAAGAACATCAATGCAAACCATTTTATGCCAACAGAGCCATCTACCACCAGAGAAACCTAAAGCTTCAATTCGATGAGAGTTTGGAAACCCCAGAGAAGTAATAACAGGAACAGCTTTGAAACCGTTAATTCGTGGCTCCACAAAACCAACAACATCAGGCTTATTGTCACGAAGAAACTGTTTAGCTGTAGCCAGAAATTTAGGGTCGCCACAACCCTGAACATTCCATACAAGAAACTTAATCATTAAAAGATAAAATGAAAGAGCAGACCTGAGAATCAGTCCAACAACATAGAAGGTTGCAGTTGAAGCAACCTGCTCTGAAGCACGATGAAAAACCACCACAGAGGTCTGCATGACTTGATAGAGAGGTGAATCGGACATATTGTGGTCACGGGTACGTCCGGCACTATCAGGAGGCTTTTGAGGGATCATCAAACATTGGGGTGAGTTATTTGTTGCGTCAACCTTTAGAATAACCACGGTGTATTTCGAAAGGTTCCGAGCTGGAGGGTCAGTTTTCCCCATGTTGAGATAACAATTATTTTTAATAAGCATAACAAATTAACCTGAGAACTATTACGTAATAAAACGTTAGGTATCTAATTTAACATAAAATATATATATATATATATATATATATATATATATATATATAAATAAAAAGTAAGTACAATTTAGACAATTAACTTTTAAATAAAATAACTAAAATTTATTGCTTAAAATTTAAACACAAAACTATTAAAAATACAAATAAAACTTTTTATTACCCGATATATAATTATTCGTTAAATAAATTTTAAAAAATATATATTTTTACATCAAATATAGTTTCACCTATATTATAGGTGTGATAAAATCTAGTATGATTTATTCTAAATTACAAAGTTAAAATATATAAGTTATTGTAATGTTTATTTGGATATACCATAATTTTATTTTTTAAATTTATTTTATAATATCTGAAATATGTTAAATATATCCAAATTGAATATTATAAATAATTTATATTAACAATTTAAAATTACTTAGATTTTTTATTTCATATTGTAATGCTAAGCGATTTTAAATTAATTTAAATTATATATTTTATAAATTTAAAAATATATTTTACTTAGAATATTATGTTTAAATAAATATTTTAATTTTTTATATTAGTAATTTTAATTTTATATTATTACTTTTAATTTTTAATGCTTAACTATTAATATTTTTATTCGATGAAAACGTAAATTTGATTTACACGAAAATGAAAGAACAAATTTACCCATTATTCTTATTCCTCGGTAAACCTAAACTTGATTCATATATCAATTAAGAAATCCATAAGCTTATGGGCCTGCAAGCCCAATCCTACTTTGCAATTGGATTTCCAGATGAAAATCGACCTGACCGTTCTTTTCTTCTACAATTTTTCCACAGAGATTGGCTTCTAGAAGAGGTAAGCGAAAAGGAAACCTAAGACCTGCGACTGCGGCTGCTGTGGCGGTTGCAGTCTGCTCCGAAATTAATGGGAAGGAAAATGGAATGGGCGGGCAGGGAGAAGCACATGGGAGGAATACCAAGGAAGATGGTGTTTTTGGCGGTGGGTGCATTCGCCAAGGCGGTTGCAAATCTTCTCAACACCACCTCCGTTCATAATGTCGATACGCTCCTTCGTCTCGTCCGCTCTCGACCCCCTGGCATTCCACTTCTCACCGTCAGCAATCACATGTCTACGTGGGTGCACCCACCCTTAAATCCTTCTCTCTTCATCATTTACGAATGTGATTTTATTTTATTTTAATGTGGATCAGCAATCATATTGTCATCTGTTTTGCTTTGGTTTGCAGCTTGGATGATCCACTTCTTTGGGGGTTCAAAGGCTTCCCCTCCGTGGATGCCAAATTGGCACGATGGGCACTTGCTGCTGAAGACATTTGTTTTAAGAATTCTTTATTCACTTATTTTTTTAGACTTGGTATGCCTTCTTTCCCACCGGTGTTGCAACTCATCTACTTATCTATCTTTCTTCTTAAGAAAATCTATTGTCATTTATCATAACACTACAAATTAGTTATTATTATTGAATTTACATATAAATCCATCTTAAGTTCAAGAATATTATTTAGATTCGTAAGTTACCATTTAGGCTGGAAAGATAAGTTAGCATAAGCTAAGAAAGACAACAATTCAGGTTCTCTGTCTACCACCACTCTGCAGATTCCCTTTACTTAGTGAATGCTCAGTTCACCTCCAGGACAGTCGAGTTTGACAGGCTTTGGTCGAAAGATATTGGTTTGATTTACTCTTTCATGGGTATGATCTTGTTCAAAATATAACCAATTCTAGCACTTGCACATAAATTTTACTTTTTCGTCTGGCTGTACTTACTGATCCGTGTTTAGCAATCATTCTTTCACATATTATAGTTACTTATCTTAGGTCTTGTTGGAAATTCCTTTTGAGTTGTGAATTTTCATCATTAATACTACTAACTAAAACCTTCTTTTATGCACATGAAGAAATCTTCTGTCAACTTGGTTTGGTTTTTGAAAGACCTGATAGTTATAAAGTAAGGGTTTACTCTGAAATAGTAAATTGTACAGGTAAATGCATACCTATTACAAGGGGTGGTGGAATTTATCAGGAACACATGAATGAAGCTCTTCAATGCTTAAACAATGGAGCCTGGGTATTTCACCTAAATTTGTACTATTGTTATTTTGAAATTTTGGTCAATCTTTTATATCATGAGATTGTTGAATTTTTCTCAGCTCTTTAATAGTTGAGATCAGAAGAAGATATAGAGCCTTTTCACAAGGGAATAAATCAAGAAGTTAACTTTAAAAGGAACTGAACCCATAGACAAAGGATATAGCTTGAAGTGATGAATGATATTACTATGTATGTTTGTTTAGTTGAAAGACAAGGGGGACTTGTTTAGTGTCTCACTGCAGTTTGTTTAGAACATTGGTTTTGGTTTTCTAGATGTGGTAGCACAACGGACTAGCTGTTAAGGAAGCAACTTGCATTTTCTGCTGATCAATTTTGACCCGGTGCCTTATTTTGTTTTTACTCTATCTCTTGCTCAAGGTAGTTTTAACTTTTAAGCATATAAGTAGTTCTTGAAATGGTACTAGTGCCAGTAAGTTGTTACATTTTGGGTATACTGTTAGTATTAGGCAGTAGTACCTGTTGAAAGATATAAAATATTACTTCAGATCTAAACATTTGAAATTGAGAACTTCTTAGTGATTGATTTTTAGATGGCTTACAGATGTGGTTTAAGGTTTGGATTCCATATGCGGTTTGAACTTGGATTGACTTTGCTGTGTTCACCCCTTGAATTAAAGTATGTTACCAGAAAACTCCTAAGAGATCAAGAATTACTTGAGCTTCTGTACCTTCATTGATGAGTACACTATTTTGTTTGAAGAGTGGTTTTAAACCTTATAAATAGTTTTGTGTTGCTGTATTGAGATTCCTTTCTTAAATATGACTACATCATGGCTTTAAGCTTCCTAATTTTTTTCTATTATTAATTGGCAGTTACATACATTTCCTGAAGGTAAAGTATGCCAAGAAGATGCACCCATAAGACGATTAAAATGGGGAACTGCTAGTCTGATTGTTCGTTCCCATGTGACTCCTATAGTTCTTCCTATGGTTCATAGTGGTTTTCAAGAGGTTAGATATCGTTCATAAGTTGACATTTGCCTTCCAGATTCAGTTTCATCTGAATGAATTCTGTTTGCGGAGCTTGTAGAATTAGTTTCCTGGGTTGTAGACGTTTCTTTCTTTCTCATGAACTCTTTTTATGCATGAAAAAGATGTCTTTACCTAACCTATGGAGGGACATTGTTTGGACTTTGATTGTGAATATTCTGCATAAATGAACCAACTGTGATATCTGATCTACATTTGCCAGTTTGACCAAAACTCTCTCCGAAAATTGGTTTCCTAATTTGGGTCTTGTTTTGATGCAGTAATAGCAGGCACTGGGAGATTCATAGTAACAAGATTAGATTAAAGGATTAATTTCCTGGGTCTATGGACATTTCTTTCTTTCTCATAAAATCCTTTTATGCATAAAAAAAGATAGGGCTTTTACCTAATCTATTGATATGTTACTATAGTTGTCGACCAAATGAAATTTACTGCAAAAGCATGACTCGAAAATAAAAGGATTTTATTGAAACTTAGTAGGCGAGAACAATGAGATATTAATTACAAGGGATAAATCTCAAAATTGCAGTGGGTGATACATGAACTTTGATTTTGTGTAATTTTATACTTGAAAATTTGGTTTCATTCTATTTTAACAAACCACTAATGCCTAGAGGGGCATTATAAAGGGTTTGAATCTTTTCTTTGATTCTCAATGGGGTTTGAATCTTTTCTTTGATTCTCAGTGGGGTGGCAAAGGAAGACTTATTGTTGAGTGTGATTGTCTTGTTGTGGTTAATTGGATTAATAATTTGGGGGTTGTCCGAATCAGTTGTGTTTGTTGTTGAATGGAATATTAGAGTTTATTAGGGATAAAGATGTGATGATCAGGCATATTCCTAGAGGGGCAAATTGGGAGGCAGATAAGTTGGCTAAAGAAGGCATTGGATGAGTGGGGTTGTGTGTAGGCCTTATGGTTTAGATATGGGGGGTTTTGTATCGTTTGGTTTCTTGTGGTTGTAAGCTTCTGATGTAATCTAAGTTGTAATTTTCAATGGTTCAATAAAATTTATGAGACACTCTTTTCCTCCTTCCAATGCTCGACGAAACTTTCATATTTCGTTGAGTATGAGGGTTTTTTTTTAATGAGGTCTCCCTATTCTATAAAAAAAACAAACAAACCATTAATGCCACTACTAGCGTAGCACCATTTTATGTTTTACAAATTGTATACACAAATAATTACATTTATCTAATATGAAAATAAAGGGATGTATTTATTTCTTTAAATGTGTACACTTGAACCACAATCAAAGTTTCACGTGTATGATTGCACCAAATTAATGATCATATTAAATTTTATATGGATCAAAGTGCTTGTGTAAATTTGAGGTTTACCCCTTATAAAACAAAACAGTTTTTCTCTCTCTTTCAATTCATGCCAATGCTACATTTTTACGTTTTTTATTTTGGCATAGCCGCATAGAGCCTAGAGTTGTTGGTTGAAAGCACCATATTGATGTTCTTGTGTACTGTTATTGTCCTTGTTTTTGGAAAATCTCATCACTGAAGACGAAACACTCGTTCTGACAGTTGGAATCCTAGAATTGATTAAGTACTATAAAACATTCTCTATGCTACAGGCAGACTGTAAGCCAGTCCATATGCCAATATCAGTGAAGAGTACAGACATGGTTAGTGACCGTGCTAAATTCATTTGATTCATTCAACCCAGTATAATCATTTTATTCAAAAATGGGCGAATGTCGGTAGAAATCAGTTCTATGACGTCTTTACATTTAGATCAATAAGCAACAGATTTGTGGATGGTGTCTTTTACATGCAATAGTTAGACCAATGAGCAGAAGCATGATACTGGTGGTTTTCATGTAGTGGCTCTTTGAAAGTTAGATTGCATTGCATGTTGAAATAAATTCCAAACTAATTCCTGATTGATTGGTTGTTTGGTTTTGGTTGGGGGGTTTCCAACAGGTGATGCCGGAGAAGTATTTTCTCAACAGAAGGCCTCCTTTTCCATTATACAATAAGAAAATAAGAATTATGATTGGAGAGCCTTTAGAATTTGATATTCATAAAATGATGCAGTCAGCGATTTCAAAGTCTCGTGATGATCCAGTACTTTCTTCAACAGAAACAACATCAAGAAGATGGCCTGCTATCTCCCCTCATGGACTGGCTTTAGATGAAGCTGCACAGAGATGCCTCTACTCAACTATTTCAGAGCAAATACAAACTGCCATGGAGAAGTTACGAAGTTTGGGTAAAAGTTTCTTAAAATAGGCTTTTTTTTTTTATAGAAAAAACATTTTTAAATAATAGTGAATTATAAAAACACTATCAGAGCTTAGGTACAACAATAGCTCGGGGAGCCTTCCCCCCTTGTGAATTTTGTTTTTTAAGTTTTTCCGTGGAATTGAAAGAACATTTTTTCTAGGTAGGGGAGATGTTGAGATCATTTTAGGTCCATTGTTGCTCATGCTCTGTTATTTTTTATGAAAATTGTTTATCTGGTGTGTAGCGTAAAGAAGAGACTGGCCTGGCCGGCTACCATTCTTTAATTGCATTGAATGTTTCAGTTTTGATGGATATTGATGGCACACGATTGACAAATGCAAGCAAAACATTATCGTCATAATTGAAAAGTAATTTTTAATTATGTGATTCGAAAAATACTTCTGAAAATAGTAAATACAAATTTTCTTAATATCTGATCATATTTGCTTCATCGGTCCATTTCTTCGTGAGATCGTCAATTTTTCTTGTATTATGTCGGGCATATCTTTGTAGTCTCGTCTAATGGAACAATCCTTTAAATATAATTTCCTGATATCTCAACTTTAATTGCCTCATATTTTTTTATTAATATATAAATTTACAAGATGATCACCCTGTTATCAGTTTTCGTTAAATTGATGACATTAATAAAAATGTTGATATTTATTTGATCCTTAAACTATAAGCTAAAACACCAATTTGGTCCTTTAATAATTTTTAAGATTATATTTTATCATATGTCAATTATTGATAACATTATAAAAATATCACACAGTTTTTAAAAGTTAGAGATAAGTCTCTCAATTAATCGATTATTACAACTAGATCATTGAGTTGTTAAACATTAGGTGGCTTTTTGACGTGGAATATTTTATTCATTAAAAATATTAGAGTTCAAAGACTTACAATCAAGTCACTCGATTAATTAATTGTTATAATTAAGTCATGTGCCACTATGTCGACCTGTCGTTGGTCGTTGTATATGGTGGCAAATGAATCACAAATTTATCATAACATTCACCTTAATTTCCTCATTCAATTCATCACATTAGATTCTATGAAATCTCTCTTAAAACTCATGGAATCACCCCAAAACTTTCAAACTTCTTAAATCTCGATCTATATTGTCAACAATCAAATAGGCCCTGTCTTAGGATATGTTCTTCCTCTTATCAATGATAACATCTCCACCGTTTGCATCATCAACTGAATCCCTTGATTTTAGAGAATCCTAAAACCCAAAATGTGTCTTCTTTTCCGCTTATTTGAGTGATTCGTGTGTGACTTTTGGAAAGTAGGTGACCCATTTGTAATCTTACCAATAATTGGTTGACCTATGGTGTAATTTATCCTATAAAAGTCATTAAAAGTTATTTCCTAGCGACGCCTTCTAACGCCCATTTCATTTTTAATGGTCCGGTGACCTATTTGTAATAATCCATCAATTGAGTGACTTATTTATAACGTTTTCAAATTGAATGACTCATAGTGATATATTTTATCCTTTTATTTATTTTTTTCAACCAAATAAAACTTATTTTTCTTTCATTCTTCACACAAGCTAACAGCCCAACAAAGATTAATATCAAATGTTTGGAAAAACTCGTAAATATATATTCAACAAAGTATCTGAATAAAGGTTTAGTTAAAAAAGAAGTAAATTAACCAACAAGTAAGGACCACAATATCTAAGTTCAAAGTGCAAAGATACATCCAAAATTGAATTGGTTCCCACTCCCACGTCCAAATAAAACATCTCTCTTTTTATTTCCACAAGACCAATTTTCCTGTAATATTTTCTTTCTTTTTCTTTTTTGAATCTGGATAATTATATGGCTTAATACCTAAATAAGTGTCCAAACTTTACCCTTTTTTCTGAATAGTTGCTTATATTGGATCATTTAGGTGCCTAATGTTACAAATTTTAATGCTTTAGGTGCTCAGAACGTCAACGGCGTTAATTTCCTCTGTTAAGTGACACGTGTCACAATCTAATAATTTTAAAAAATTATATAAAATTAAAAATATAAAAGGATATATATTTAAAAAAAAAAGAAAACACAAATTTCAAAATAACCCCAAATCTTTAAAAACCTTTATTTCAAACCCTAAACCCACGCCAACAGCCAACTGCCACCCTTTGCCGTTGACGAAGCTCCACTCGACCTCACCTCCCTCCGATGACCAAAACCCCTATAAAATCGTGACCGATCGACGCTGAATCAACGTTTTATACCCCCACGAACTCTATGATGAAAATCGTGAAACCACGCGATTCCGACAACTAATAGGCGGCAACTACGACGGCATATAATTAGGATGATGGCAAAGACTACGTCAGCGACGGTGGTCATGGGTAGAGAGGGCGGCAACGACGGGTTAATGTTATGATTTTGGGATTTTAGGGATTTAAGGTTTTTTTTTAATTTAAAAGAAATTAGGGTTTTTTATAAATATAATAATATTTTTAATTTAAAAAAAATCAAAATTACCAGATTGTGACATGTGTCACTTAACGGAGAAAACTAACGGTCGTTACGTTTCGGGCACCTAAAGTGGTCACGTTTGTAACATTAGGCACCTGGATGATCCAAAAAATATTATAAGCACTTATTCGGGCAAAAATGGTATAGTTTGGACACTCATTTGAGTATTAAGCCTAATTATATATATATATATATATATATAATAGTTATGATTCACTTGCACAATGAAAAAATCTTTAGTTTTACACATATTTAAGACTGTTAGATGAGTGAAAATAGATGACTGAGATTAACTCTTTTTTCCAATGAATATATTCTCATTTCTTACTGTTAATCTCAATACTTTATTTGCATTCATACAACGGTCCTAAATCTGTGTAAAACTAAAAGAGTTTTACACTGTAACACCCCCAACCCGTATCCAACCCAAATAGGAGTTCGATATGTCACATCAACTTTTCTAATCATTTCTTATATAAAATAGAGGAAAAATTAGATTATATTTAAACATACTGAATAATTTACATATATCAACTCAAAATGTTTACAAAAACTGTTCAGAGCTTATACAATTTAATCCTTTAAATATATGCCAACACTATATAACACAACAGGGAAACCTACTGTTAATTCTTCTGATATGATCTTTGCAGAAGTTACGTTATCTCCGCTGCCTATCTTCTCTTTGGAACTTCTCGGATCCTACGTGTGAAACACTCACACGCTAAGTCATAGACTTAGTGATACATATAAATGAATAATGGAAACTCTCACTATTTAAAAATGAATGTACATTAAATACCATAATATCATACTAAATCATATACACATTCTTACATGCTCATGTACAATCATTTTCATTATTACCAATATTATCATTAGTACTTAAAATTATATACTCTTATACATAACATTCGTACGTAATCATCATATTATACATTAACCAAGTAATACACACAACATCACACACACACACACACACACACACACACACATATATATATATATCACATTCAGTGTATTTATTTTATTTCTTTATTAGCTCATGTATACTTTTGAGAACTAAAGATATGTGAGTACATTGAGGTTGTGCACATATGTTGTCACCACAACTCGTATAAATTCCCACTAGGGGCACACATATTTTGTCCCGAAGGACCACGTAGAAATTTCCCGAATGACCACGTAGAAATATCCTGAATGACCACATATATATCCCGAAGGACCACTCTTTAAGGATCACATATATATTCCAAAGGACCAAATATGTGTCCTGAAGAACCGCATAGATGTTCCAAAGGATTACATATATATCCCGAAAGACCACATAAAACCCTCGACTCTTGGCATGCCAACTATACCCCTAGCTCTCATATCACATAACATGAGCATTATCATTTATGTTTATCACACATTCACACATTCATATCACATAGGCATATAACTCATGGATTTTTATCATATATATCATGTAATGTTCTCGTGGAGTCTCATATCTTATTATCATATATCTCATATCACATATTCTTGTATTCATATAAACAGATACTCATATTTCTTATCTTTTATGATCATATAATCATATAATTTATTATCATATAACTCATAGTCACATACTTTATCACACATACATGCATTCACATAGATTAAATATATAGATGTACTTAACATCTAGACATTTACATATACTCATGTATACCTAATATCAGAATTAGACTCATCGCAAGTCTTAATTCCCTAACATAATTTGTACTTAATATCATGTACTCACCTTGGTCTTACTTGCCAATACAAATCTCTTATCTCTCTCTCGTAAATCTTACTCTGATAGCCTGTTCAAACTTTGCTTTCGATCGATATCTACACGAATATATAATCCAATGAATATCAGAATTCAAATTACTAGAAAAGATTATTGCCAATGCAAACTAAATAAAACATAAATTTCTAATTTCCAACTTAAGTAGTATCGATACTACAAGAACAATACAGATACCTCTATGCTGGTAGTATTGAAATACTTCCACGGTATCGATACCCATTCTCGATTCTGTAATTTTCTTGCAAAAATGCTAATGATACCTCCCTATTGGTATCGATACCCCTGGTACCAATATTATCACTTCAGTATCGATACCTCATGAAGATTTATCCCTTTTCTTCCTTATGGTATCGATATTGTTCATACAATATCGATACCCCACACATAATTATCACATAATTTTCCTTATAGTATTGGTATTAACTCAACCAGCACCGATACTACTAATCCATAATATATTTCTTAAACATGAAATTTACTAATACTTCACTTAAACTCCCTTTACTTAACTCCCTTCATGCTATTAAACTCAACTATACATACTTAAACTATCTTTAACACTATAATACAACATCATCTTCAATATCTCAACATAACTCTTGCAATTAAGAATTTTACTAAACTTTTAACATGTTCTAAATTCATTTCTAACACTTGATACTTCTTATCTCAACTTATGACAAGTCAAATATATCTTCAAAATTT